AGAAGAGAAGAGAAGAGAAGAGAAGAGAAGAGAAGAGAAGAGAAGAGAAGAGAAGAGAAGAGAAGAGAAGAGAAGAGTTCAGGGAGAGCTCAGAGCCCCTTCCAGCGCATGAAGGGGCTCCAGGAGAGCTGGAGAGGGACTGGGGACAAGGGATGGAGGGACAGGACACAGGGAAGGGCTTTTAACTGCCAGAGGGCAGGATAGATGGGATATTGGGAAGGAATTCTTCCCTGTGAGGGTGGTGGGGACCTGGAATTCCCAGAGCAGCTGTGGCCCCTTCAAGGCCAGGTTGGATGGGGCTTTGCTCATCCTGGGATAGTGGAAGATGTCCCTGCCCATGGCAGGAGTTTGGAATGAGATAATCTTTAATTCCCTTCCAACCAAAACCATTACATGATTCTTTGTCCCAGTTCAGTGCCGAGGTGAAAACCAGTGTGGAGAGAGCTGCCAAACTTCCTGCATCCGTCTGCAGCCCCAATCTGTGTCAAACCCACCTGCTCCCAGGTGTGAAAGCCACAACTCTCTGCTCAGCTGGGTCCTTTGAGCCTATGGCTTGTCCCACCGAGGGGACACTTGTCCCTTCCCTGAGGGCACTTTCCAGAAGCTCAGTTATGGGAATCACCTGAGCTTTACCCACTCCAGAGGCTTGGGAGAGGGATGAAGTGTCTCCAAAGCTGTGCCAATGTAATGATTTTTAAGCCAGGCAGAGACACGTTGGATCCTGGCCATACATTGTAGGGGATTGTAGTAAAATCAATTAGGAGAAATAAGGCTGCTGTGACTAATGAGCTAATGAGTGGTGCCTTAGTGAAAATGGCTCTAAAAGAGCTGCAGGGTTGGATTCCTGCCTCATTATTCATAGGGATGGGCCAGAGTCAGGCTTGGCACTCTTTTTTTTTTTTACTTTGCTTTTCCAGCATTCTCTTTAACTTTTAAAGACATTCCTCATCAATGGAGGAGATGGAGAAAGGCAGGGATACCTGTTTAATTCCTCTCTTTCTGGTGCAAGAATCTCAGCTCCGGAGAATTTTGATTTCTGTGAGGGACAGGTGGGGACTGTGATGTCCCAGAGGTGAAATTCATGGTGATTTAATCCCTGGAATCAGTTCAGTGCTCAGAGTAACCCATCCTTGCTGCTTCTGTGAGTGCCTTTCATCCCTGACCCGTGAAGCTGCTGGATCAGGTCCAGAGGGAGCCATGGAGATGCTCCAGGGGCTGGAGAGAGACTGGGAGAGCTGGGAATGTCCAGCCTGGAGAAGGGAAGGATCCAGGGAAACCTCAGAGCCCCTTCCAGTGCCTAAAGGAGCTCCAGGAGAGCTGGAGAGGGACTGGGGACAAAGGATAGAGGGACAAAACACAGGGAATAGCTTTAAACAGAAATAGGGTGAGGTTAAATGGGATATTGGGAAGAAATCTTTCCTTGTGAGGGTGGTGAGGCCCTGGTGTGGAATTCCCAGAGGATTTGTGGCTGCCTCATCCCTGAAGGTATCCAAGGCCAGCTGGATGGTGTTTGGATCAGCCTGGGATAGTGGAAGATGTCCCTGCCCATGGCAAGGGTTGGAATGGGATGATCTTTAAGTCCTCTTCCAACAAAAGCTGAGCACTAGAACATGACAGTGTCATGTCAGCACCCCTCCACCCTTAAATCCAATCCCATCTTTCACTCCTGCACCTGCCTGCTCTGCAAATTTGGGATTCATAGGAGATACATCAAGAGCTGATTAGAGTAATGAATATGGAGAGCTCAAAATCATTAAGTCAAGAAGGCTCTCGGTGCCTGCAGCCCTTGGTCCCTGAAACTCTGCCCTGGAGGTGGATGGGGAATTTGAGGATTTGCAATGGAACTGGGCAGCCTGGGAGGTTGTGGGATTTGGAGATTTCCAGGCTGGATAAAAGTGAGGCAGGTCTGATGAAGATGACTCCACCCTGAGAGTGCCTCAGCAGGAGAGGTGGGACAGGAAAAGAGGATTTGGCACGGGATTCCCAGGCTGGAAGTAAACACTTGGCTGAACTTTTCCTTTTAGTTATGACAACAAACTCATGTGAAGAGAGTTGTTATATTAATTTCCCTTTGAACAGATAAACTAAAATGTCTATTTTTAAAAAATCCATCTTGTGATGAGGCAGATTTATGCAGATTATGTGTCTTTTAAGTTTTAAAATTCCTGTAATTAGTGGGAACTCCCCCCCTAGAACAAGTTGTGGTTTCTTACATAATAATAAAAGCAATTCAACAAAATAATATTTTAATGTTCTCATTAGTTCTTGGTTTTTGTTGTGATTTTTTTTGTTTTGTTTTGTCTGGGTTTTTTTCTTTTTCTTTTTCTTTTTCTTTTTCTTTTTCTTTTTCTTTTTCTTTTTCTTTTTCTTTTTCTTTTTCTTTTTTTCTTTTTTTTCTTTTTTCTTTTTTGTTTTTTTGCTGAGTTGCTAGCCCTGCAAAGCAGCAGCACAGGGTGTGCATTAAAGAAGAAACATTTCAGGACTCAGATAAGATCGACTGAAACCATAAACAAGGTGTGTTGACATCCCCCCAAAACCACCCTCGGGATTGAAGGAGGGAACAGGATTTAGAGCAGGGTGGTGGCAGAGATTCTTCCATCCAAGATTTTCTAAGGCGAGGGAGATCACATTTCAGCTGTGCAGGTGAAACCACTCATTTAACACACATTGTTTGAGGCCACTTAATACCAGAAACCAGAAGCCACACCCCATCCATGTTTTTCTATTTTCCTTTTTTTTTTTTTCTTTTTTCCTTACTCACAAGGCAAACACCATCGGAGGATTTTGCCTTTTTAATAGGATTAGAACCTTTTCTGCTGAACACGAGGAATGCCAGACATGGAATATACCTAAATGTCTTTCCCTAGGTAATTTTTGAGGCTGGAAATAACTGCTTAGCTCTCATAATCCACATAATTACTGTATTAGAGAGGCAGCTGTGAAAACAATCCGTCGGAATTCCTGAGGATGGAAATCACCCAGAAGTGGTGTTTGGAAAAGCAGCAGGGATTGCTGAAATGCTGAGACCACCTTTAGATTGGATATTAAGGAAAAATTCTTGCTTGTGAGGGTAGGGAAGCTCTGGGATGAAATTTGAGAGAAGCTGTGGCTGCCTCTGGATCCCTGGAAGTGTCTAAGGCTGGGCTGGATGGGATTTGGAGCAGCCTGGGATAGTGGAAGGTGTCCCTGCCTATGGAAGGAGGTTGGGACTGGATGCTCTTTAAATTCCCTTCCATCCCAAGCCATTCCATGATTCTGGAGCTTTAAATTTTGAAAGATGATGGTTGGATTTTTTTATCCAGCATTCCTAGACAAACTTTTAACATTCCAAGGCAGGACAAGACAAATTAGCCTCGAGTCTTATCAGGGAAAGTTTAGATTGGATATTAGGAAAAATTTCTTTGCAGAAAGGGTTGTCAGGCATTGCAACAGGTTCCAGATGTGTGATGGAGTCACAACCCTGCAAGTGCTCAAAAAACCTGGATGTGGCACTTGAGAACAGGGTTTAGTGGAGAAAATGGTGGTGGTGCTGGTTTGACTCTGAATGTGATGATCCTGACATCTTTCCCAACCTTAATGATTCCAGGAGTTCAAGTGAATAACCCTGAATAAAGTTCCTTTCATGGTGGAATAACGAAGGTGGTGGGGATATCTCCAACACCATCCTGGATTCAGCTTTTCCCATTACTCAAAGGCTGTGTTGAGAGGGTGCCTGGCATAGCGACCAAAATGTTCTTCCTTCCCAATTTTTGCAATTCCACACCTGGACTTGGTCGTCACATGTTGGAGGAGGATTTCCTAGCACAGAGCTGGCCTGAGGTGCAGGAAAATCCAGCTGGTGCCTGGGGCAGCAGGGTTGGGACTGGAAAAATGTTTGGGAAGCAAAAAAGTCATGAGCTTGCAATCACACTTGGAGAGGGTTGGCTCAGAGCAGAGGGGCTTCTCCATTCCATCCTTCCTCAGGATAATGAGCCTGAGAGATTCCTTTGGCCAAGACTTTCAGGTCCTGGTCCTGTTTTTTCCCCAGTGCTCCATGCTTTTTCCAGTGAGTGGGGGATTGAAAATCAGATTTCTGCTTCTAGACCAGGCTGGACAAAGCTTGGAGCAACCTGATCTAGTGGAAGGTGTCCTTGGCCATGGAGAGGGTTTGGAATGAGGTGATCCCATCCAATCCAAACCATTCCATGATTCTCCTCCTCCTGATAAACTCTGGACCCCACTGAAGGTGAAGACACAGAGGAGAAAACCCCACGAGTTTCAATTCCTTGATATTCACACCCACCAAGGCTTTTGCACCCAGGATTTCTTGAAACCACTCCAAAAAAGGAGAGGCAATATCCCCAAGCTGCAAGACAAGACCTGGATACCAGGATTATTTAACACCCTGAGGCTTCCATATCCTGCTTGGACACAGAAAACCAGGCTTAACCAACCCAAACCATTGTCCACCCTGCAAAAGCGAATTTTCTTCTCCAAGGAACATGAAAAGAGATGACGGAGTAGGAAGAGGTGGGGCCTGCTTTGGAGCTCCTTCAACTCATTTATAGCTCAATGAGAGTCGTTTTCCCAGTAGATTTGGATGTGGGGACGGAATCAGTGCACGGCAAATCACCAGGACGTGTGACACCGGTGAAGAGTGGTGACAATCCAGTGAGCAGACAACGAGAACTGTGCAAGATGAAAGTGTTCCTGTCTCTTCTGTTGGCTGCTGTCACTTGCATGGATTTGGGTGAGTTCCTGCTGGGATTTATCCAGACTCCTTCAGGAGGTGCAGTGTGATGGGATGGGATGCTCCGTGTTCCCTCTGAAAGCCACGTCTCCCACTTTAGGCAGTTTTCAAGAAAAAAGAAAAAAGTCTTTGGAATATTTCCATATGTTCAGGGTGGTGATGGTGCCATTGGGATTGTCAGGTCAGGCTCTTTAGGAAGTTTCACAAGGCAGAGTGTGATTAAACCATATCATTCCTTTAATGCAAATTCCCACTCTCACTTTTCCCATGTTCGTGCTCAATTTCACTCTTTTTTATTTTTTTAACGTTATTTTTAACTTTCTGTACTTTTTTTGATACTTAGCCCTGAATGTTCCATGCAGAGTGTGTGGGAGCTCTCCAAAAATGTTACATGTGGGATTTATCCAATTATAGCTGTTAGAAATGGGAAAGATGAGCTGGGACACTGCTGGTGGCCGAGGTACTCCAGGGCTGATTTTTATCATGGAATCATGGAATGGTTGGGGTTAGGAGGGACCTTAGAGATCAAAGTGAGGCACTGGAACAGGTTACCCCAAAAAGTTGTGGATGCTCATTCCTGGAAGTGTCCAAGGCCAGGTTGGGCAGGGCTTGGAGCAGCCTGGTCCAGTGGAGGGTGTCCCTGGCCATGGCAGGGGGTGGAATTCCATGATCATAAAGGTCCCTTCCAACCCAAACCATTCTATGATTCCATTCCATGATTCCATGATCCTCCCTTCACCCTTTCTGTCCCTTGTTTCTGCCACCACACCAATTTCTTGGACAAAAATGATGGTCCCAAGCTTTGTTGGTGTTCTCCTGGATGTCCAAGATAATTCATGATCAGGAACAGTCCAGGATCTGTGACTGTTCACTGGGATGTTCTCAGATCCAGACAGTGCTGGGTCTGATTTTATCATATGGAGCTTTGTTAGGATTTTTTAACTCCTATTTATTTCCTTCTTATGCAAGGACATTTTCAGTCCTCCCTCCTTGCTGAACAGACTCTGCAGAGGAGAAACAGGTGGTGGCTTGTTCGGTTTTCTTTTCAGAGAGGAACACAAATCCTGTGGGTTGGATTTGTCCAGCATCACAAAATGTGAGACTAAGAACGATGCTTCTTCCTGAAGATGAATTTCACAACTGTCAGGCGTGGAATTAGTGCAAACAAAGCATCAGGTCACGACGGGCAAAGCACGAGAATAAAGTTTGCTTTAGCAGGAAAATTGCTGTGTTTGTTTAGAAAAGGGCTTTTTTCTGGCTCATTAATTAGGATGGTGTCTATTTTCACAGGGTGACTTGTTTGCCTGAGCCTGCTGACATCCCGTTGGAGCTGTGCTGGGAGGAGCTGAATCATTTCTCCTTTTCAGCGAGGTTTAATGAATTTCAGCAGGAATGTCACACAGACGGGGTGACAAGGGCTTCCCAGACCAAAGAGGGGCTGCTGGGGTGTGATGGCACCAAAACACATCAGTGTGGTTGTAACACACACTTTGAGGTGTCTGTTAGGGGGTGGAAGAGAGCATCTAGAGGAGAGGACTCAGATCAAATGTTGGGTTCCTCAGAAAACCCCACAGAGAGCAAAATGCCCTGAAAAACTTGTGGAAAAATGTTTTTGGGGTTTTTTTGGTGATAGGAAGCACCAGACACTGTTTTGATTTGATATATTTAGCTTGGAGTGCTCTGTGTCACAACGATCTGGGATCTTCAGTGGTTTTCTCCGAAATTTGCATCTCAGAAGACTTTAGGCACTGGAAGATTTGGGCTGTGATTTTTCTGTGGTTGTAGGAGCTGAGAAGCACCTGCAGCTCTCAAGGGCTTTACAACTTTACAGGGATGAGGAACATCTCTGAAGCAGTGAGGGACAAGGCAGGAGGAGCTGGCTCAGGATGGATTTGGATTCTTGAGTAACAAATTTCGTGTCTGTGGTCTCTGCCTCTGTCACATGCAATCCATTCATGGTGCTGCTGTCTGCTTTAATTCTTCTCTGTGAGGGTGGTGGGATCCTAGAACAGGTTTTCCCAGAGAAGCTGTGGCTGCCCCTGGATCCCTGGAAGTGTCCAAGGCCAGGTTGGACAGGGTCTAGAGCAACCTGGGATTGTGGAAGGTGTCCCTGCTCATGGCAAGGGTCTGGAACTGGAAGTTTTTAAGGTCCCTTCCAACCCAAACTGTTCCATGATTTAAAATAACCCCTCACACATTCTTCTCACAAATCCAGAATCTCAGCACAAGGGGAAGGGTTGTGCTCAGTTTGTTCTTGTGATGGAGGCAAATTCCTCCTGTCTGGGACATCCTCCAGCCTTTGGGAAGAGCTGGAAGCACCAGAGGAAATTCTCACTGCTGCAACTCACGTCCAAGTCTGACTTTTCTTGTGTGTGTATCCAGATCCTTCACCAAGGGGACAAACCTGACCAAGGTGACAAATTTCTGTGCTGAAGTGACTGACCTGGTAGGCAAGGGATGAGCTGTGGAAATTTCCACCTGGACTTCAGGAAAGACTTTGATGCTCTCTCCTGTAAGATCATGGAATCAGGGAATGGTTTGGGTTGGAAGGGAACTGCAGACCATCCATGCATGGATGCCATGGGCAGGGAACACCCTCCACCATCCCAGGTTGCTCCAAGCCCTCTCCAACCTGGCCTGGAACACTTCTAGGAATGGAGAAGTCCACAACCTCTTTAGGAAACTTGTTCCAAGATCCTCATAGACAAGCAGTGGAGGTGTGGGCTGGGTGGACATCTCTCTTCTGAGCAAAAGCTGGGACTTCTCAGGCTGGAGAAGTGAAGGTTCAAATTGGGAATCTTATCTGTAAACTCCTGAAGGGTGATAGCAAAGAGGACAGAGCCAGGCTCCTTTCAGTGATTCCCAGTACCAGGACCAGGCAAAGGACACAAACTGAAACCCAGGAAACATCAGGAAACACTTTGTGACTGTGAGGCTGACTGAGCACTGGCAGAGATTTCCCAGGGAAGTTGCAGAATCTCCATCCTTGGAGATTTTAGAACCTCACCTGGAGACAGTCCTGGACAAGAGGCTTCAGGTGGTCCTGCCTGAGGGCAGGGATTGGGCTGGTGGAGCTCCAGAGGCCCCTTCTAACCTCTCCCATTTTGTGATTCTGGGAATTTGGGAGTCTGGGATCTCTTACTGATGCTCTACTAAAGTCAAGGAGAGACCTAGGTCCAGAAAACAGAGAATTAAATCACCCCAAGCTCCTTCCTGTGTCACAGGGTCTCCTGTGTGTGTGGCTCTGTCTTGTTTGACTCATCACAAGGCATCTGAACCCGACCTGAAGCTGTGTTTTGACCACCAGACCTTTGTGTTTCTCATTTCCACATGTCCAAACACGTTCTATTATTCCATTCCCATTCTCAGCACGATTATTTCGGAAAATCCCCCCCAGGAGACACCTGGAGGGGCACAGACAGAACCCACACTGAGGCCAGCCTTGTTTTCCCTCCTCACAGGACACTCCTTGCAGTGTTACACGTGCAGGGATTTGACCTCAGTTGACAAGTGCCAGACAATTGAGAACTGCTCAAAGGAGGAGACCATGTGCAAGACTACGATGTATTCCCTGGAGGATGGTAAGGACAATTCCTTCTTTAGCCATGCTTTTAATAGGATTCGGTGTTTTGACAGTGCTGGTGTGGTTCCTCTTCCTACTTATATGTGGGAAAGAGCTCTACTGGGAGCTCCAGCTCTCCTGCTGTTGTGGGAAGCAGTGTTTGTGTGAGGGAATATTCGATGAATGCAAGCTCCTGGTTAATGCTCAGAAATAAGATTTTAACTTTTTGCAAGGTCACGTGGTGATAGGAAAACAGGGAGTGGCTTTAAACCTAAAGAAGGTGAGTTTAGATTGGATATTAGGAAGAAATTCCTTCCTGTGAAGGTGGGGAGGCCCTGGCAGAGGTTTCCCAGAGAAGCTGTGGCTGCCCCATCCCTGGAAGTGTCCAAAGCCAGGTTGGACAAGGCTTGGAGCAACCTGGGACAGTGGAAGGTGTCCCATGGCAGAGAGACAGGGATTTGATGATCTTTAATCTCCTTTCCAACCCAAACCATTCTCTAATCCTATGACACCAACTCCCGGTCATCAGAAGACAAAAAAGAATGGTGATGCTCTCCTCTGTTTTTCCCAGTCCTAACTGCTCCTGATTTGTTTTTCTTTGCCATAGTTTATCCCCCCATAGGAGTCTCCACTGTCACCAAGATGTGTGCCTCCAGCTGTGAGCCCTCTAGTGTGGATAACATCGGGATGACACGTCCTGTCACCTGCTGCTACTCTGACCTGTGCAACTACGATGGAGCAGCAAGTTTGAACGCCAGTGCCTGGCCAGTTGGGGTCCTGGCAGGTTCCCTCTGGGCCTTTTTCTGGACAAGACTGTGAGGGGATGATGGGGAGTCGTTTATTCTGAAAAATTCCATGAAGAAAATTAAACCACCCCCCCGCCACCAGCCACCAGCCCAGCTTTCTATGTGGATGCCTCATGAACAACACTTAACAACTCCCAATTTTTTATTTTTTTTTTAATATCCATGCTTTTCCCACAACTAAGAGAGAAGCAGAACTCAGGAAGGCCCAACTCAAATGTTTAATTGATTTTTCAACAACTCCCACGAAATTTACTGTAGAGTTTCTCTGCTGTGTTGGTCTGGTTGGGTTTGAAGTAAAAAATTCAAATGTGTGAAGTATATTTAAGGCAAAAAACCTTGAGTAGAGCCTTCCTTACCTCCTTAGAGCAGGCCCTCTCCACCCCAGCATTTTCTGCTGTTCTTCCTAGATCTCCTTCTTTGTACCCAAAAAATTAAGGACACATTCTGTGCCCAAAACATGAGGCAGGAGACTGAACTTCCCATGCCAATGATCTGTTCCAGAGAGGTTAAAATTTCATGTTGTCTGTACCCTTTTGAGCAGAATAAAAAGAATCTTGTGTTAAAATGGTTGTAATCACATTTAATTTTCCTTTCTTTTTTGCTTCTAAACTCCATCTTTCAATATTGTTTAACAGTTAACAGAGTTGGGTTTTGGGGTCAGTCCCACAACAGATGGATGAGACATTTCCCATTATCCCTCACTGGCAGTGACTTTCTATCAACATTTCTTTCATCAACTCCCCTTATACAAATCTGTCTTTACTGGAAATGCTGAATTTTCCCTGAATTTGGATATCAGTGGAAAGAGTTTCCCCCTTGCTTTAATCCTCCAGCACACCATCTGCAATTCCTTGTGTGTTGCTCTGTGCTCCTACATTTTGATCCCTCCCACTCTGGTTCTGCATTTTCCCATAATCCCCTTTCTGAGGTCCAGCAAAAATATCCTCCTCCAATTATCACCCTGCTCCTGATATTTGGGATAACCAATCCAAATGTGATATAAACTCTTCCACGTGGCACGTGAGGTTTCCAAGAGAGGTGGTGCAATTCCCATCCTTGGGAAGTTTTCATGGCCTAGACCAGTGAAGTCCTGAGAAACTTGGGCTGACCTCAAAACTGGGAGGTTGGAACAGAAGTTTGGATTAGGAACATTCTGAGGTTGCCTTTCCAACCTGAACTCCCTGTGAATCATGGTCTCACTGGGATCACTGGAACACAAACACCAGCATTTCCAGGCTTTCTACACAGGGAAAAAAATTCTTCCCTGGGAGGATGATGAAGCCCTGGCACACATTTCCCAGAGAAGCTGTGGCTGCCCCTGGATCCCTGGAAGTGTCCAAGGCCGGGTTGGATGGGGCTTGGAGCAGCTTGGGATAGTGGAAGGTGTCCCTGCCCATGGCAGGGGGTTGGAATGAAATTATCTTGAAGCTCCCTTCCAACCCAAACCATTCCATGATTCCATGGAAGCTCCTTGGTGGGGATTTCTCCAGCTCTGCCAAAGTCACAGACCCCAGAGCCAGGGATGGGTTGACCCAAGAGGTGCCCCTGGGAGAAACCTGGGAATTCCCAACACTTATCCCACGACTTCATTTGGGGCAAGAGGTGACATTTCCCACTGTGTCCTTCAGCCCTGCACGTTTATGACTCTCTCGAACCACGGAGAACATTTTGAGATCCACACCCTCCAAAAAATCATCAGACACGGCTGATTGCAGCCACCCCTCAGCCGTCATGGCTCTGAGGAGGAGCTGATCCTCCCCTCCCTTCCTTGGCCACGGGTGCCTCACCCCTTTGATCCCTGGCCAGTTTGGCAGCGTGTTTGCCACATTCCAGCTGTTCCCTGCAGGGATCGTGGCTGTGGGGGAAGATCTGGGCTGAAAGGCAGAAAATCTGTGTGGGTGAGGCTTTGGTGTCACCCCCTCCCTGGGCTCTCCAAACTCGGGGTGATGCTCCGTGGTGAAAACATCAACCTGAACCTCTCTGTGGTTTGTATCTTTTCTGATATAAAAATTAATTTATTAATTAATATATTAGCTCTGTTTCACCTGGTTTGAAGCTGTCCTCAACTTCCTGCTTCTGGAAATGTCTCTGATTATTTATTTCCCCCCAGTAGCCACATTTTTTTTGGGTTCATTTTTTGCTGAAATTTAATTCCCTCCTCATCCAGTTGATCTCCAGGTCCATCTGTTTTTTCTAACCCTCCTCACTCTTGGGGGCTGTTCAAAGCTCTCTCTGAAGGTTTCCCTGCATTTGTTTAGGAATGAGTCTTTTGCTCCTTTTTTTTTTTTTTTCCTCCCCAAGCTCTCCCAACCCTTTGGGTTTGCCTCTTGTGTTTGGAAGAGTTTGGCTCAGTCTTTTCGAGATCTTTTTTGAAACACTGGGAGAGGACAAGGGCTCATACTTCAGACAAAAGGCAAGGAGAACTTCAGGGAGAGATGGATAACTTGTCAAAAGCTGCCTGAGGAATTCAGGCAGGGCTTTGCTTGGTCTGTGGACACTGGCTTTGGAGCAGACATCCACCCCACACCTTCCTGACTCTTGTTTGGATCTGCAATGAGTTCCCACCTCATATTTTGTTAGTGGGAATTAGTAAAATGATCTGTGTTTTCCTCCTAGCTCAGCTTAGGCATGAAATTTTGTAGAACAACCTGGTTCTGGTTTGTTGCTTCAGCTCCCAGCCTGAGACACCTTCCCAAGGGCCTGGATCTGTCTAAACAGATTCCCTCGGGAGCAGTAGGGCTCAGGCAGGACTCTGGATAAACACAACCTCGCTGTACACTGAGATAAGCTCCCTACAATATTTATCTGAATATATTTTGTTTTTTTTCCCTGTCCCCAGAGGCAAAAGCAGGTGAATTCCCTCTTGGAAGCCCTCCAGGTAAAATCCAATTTGTGACTGCAGGACATAGCTCAGGAATCTGGGAATCAGCAAACAGCCGTGCCAGAATGAAAAACAGGGATCTGTGTCGTGCTTCCAATCCTTGCAGGATAGAATCAGTCCAGGGTGTTTGCTAATTCTGCCTTGGAGGAAGTGTCCCAAGAGGCCAAGGCAGTTGTGATTTCCTGTTGGGATTGCAGAAGCCTTCAGTGACATCCTGAGGAGGAGGCACCGAGGTTTTCTTTTATGTCCCTGCATAAAACAAGCCCTTTGCTGAAAGTCTGAATTTTAACAGTGCTTGAGTTGTTCTGTCTGGAAGTTAATCCCTCTAATTCTCTGGGGCAGGGACACCTTCCAATATCCCAGGTTGATCCAATCCCTGTTCAACCTGGCCTTGGACACTTCCAAGGATGGGGCAGCCACAGCTTCTCTGGGAAACCTGTGCCACCCATACAGGGAAGAATTCCTTCCCAGTATCCCATCTATCCCTGCCCTCTGGCAGTGGGAAGCCATTCCCTGTGTCCTGTCCCTCCATCCCTTATCCAAAGTCTCTGTCCAGCTCTCTTGAACCCCATTTAGGCACCAGAAGGAGCTCTAAGGTCTCCCTGGGGTTTTGTCTCCTCAAAGTGAACAGCCCCAGCTCTCCCAGCCTGTCCATGCACCTTACTTTCCTGGNTCTTTTATGTCCCTGCATAAAACAAGCCCTTTGCTGAAAGTCTGAATTTTAACAGTGCTTGAGTTGTTCTGTCTGGAAGTTAATCCCTCTAATTCCCTGGGACAGGGACACCTTCCAATATCCCAGGTTGCTCCAATCCCTGTTCAACCTGGCCTTGGCCACTTCCAAGGATGGGGCAGCCACAGCTTCTCTGGGAAACCTGTGCCACCCATACAGGGAAGAATTCCTTCCCAGTATCCCATCTATCCCTGCTCTCTGGCAGTGGGAAGCCATTCCCTGTGTCCTGTCCCTCCATCCCTTATCCACAGTCACTGTCCAGCTCTCTTGAACCCCATTTAGGCACCAGAAGGAGCTCTAAGGTCTCCCTGGGGTTTTGTCTCCTCAAAGTGAACAGCCCCAGTTCTCCCAGCCTGTCCATGCACCTTACTTTCCTGGGAAAAAAAAAAAAAACAACCACCAAAAAAATCTGGATCAATATGCCCAGAGTGAGCATCCCAGTTTGCAAGCAGAGCCGTGCCTAGACCAGGAAGCAGAAACGTGCGCTGATAAAATCCAGGAAGTTTTTTCAAAACTGATGTTAAGAACAAATCTTCACTCCGAGGAGGCTCCCTGTGGTTATATAAGGAGATTATCTTTGACTTCAAGGCTGTGTCAAAGTGACTCAGGCCCTCAAGGGCAGGGCTGTGTCACCAGGCCGTGGTTATGGATTTGCAAATCCCTGCTCCCTGTGGCAACCCCACCATCCCCTTTGCAAACAAACTGGGAAGGACTTGGACCCAGCACAGGGATCCAAGGGAGAATGGAAACTCTTGCTGATGTTTGGAGAGATATCCACCTGCATGTGACAGCAGCTGAGCTATGGTGAAAGGTGTTTTGGGGGTAGAGCAGGAATAAAAGGAGTTGCCTCCCAGTATGGATCCAGAGGTTGGAAAGCAGCCCTGGAGTCTGTGGTCCAACCCCCGGGGCTAATTTGGGGGATGATTCATCTGCTTTTCCCAACATGTGGATGGAAATGCTGTTCCAAGCCCATTTTTGGTGAATTATGGAGTTTTATGGACTTTTCTTAGGCTACAGTAAGGTGAAGGTGGGGTTCTCCCTTATTCATGGATGAACAATATTTCATGGGATAATAAGATGGTTTGAGTTGGAAAGGACTTCAAGGTCATCCAGTTCCAACCCCCTGCCATGGGCAGGGACACCTCCCACTATCCCAGGTTGCTCCAAGCCCCATCCAAACTGTCCTTGGACATTTCCAGGGATCCAGGGGCAGCCACAGCTTCTCTGGGCAACCTGTGCCAGGGCCTCACCACCCTCACAAGGAAGAATTCCTTCCTAAATTCCAATCAAAATTTACCCTTTATTTTAAACAGAATTGTTTCTGTTTGCCGAGACATGTTTACCACCTGAATTTTTGGAGTAATTAATTATTTGAATTTCTTCACAAACCACACTGAGATTT